TTTTTTTGCGGTACTGGGGATTGAACTCGGGACCCTGCATTTGCCAGGCAAGCGCTTATTCTACTGAGCTTTCTCCCTGGCCCCACTGGTTAACTTTTGATTAAGTAAAGTAGGGCAGCTTGCTGATGCAGCCACTCCATTTTCCCCAGCTGCTGCTCACTCTGGAGCATTGTAGGCCCTTTGCCACTCCATAACATCACCATGTAATTTGGATACAGTTTGCACAAGGGTTTCTAGCTACTATATAATTTGATCTGTGTAATTTTTCTTAATGTATTTTGTACAGGGTCTCACTATGTAGCTCAAACTCATGATCCTTCTGTTTTCAGCTTCCCCAGCACTGGGATAATAGGCATAGATTACAGGCTTCAGTGGCCCACATGACACGGGGCTGGTGTGGCATACAGTGCCAGAAATCAAACCCTGGTCCATACACTTGGTAGATAGTCAGACTGCTGAGCTGTGTCCCCCCAACCCCTTTTCTAAAATAACTCAAGACACTTAAATCTGCAACACTGGAGCTCTCTGAGGTTTACATGGACTGCACAGAGTAGGCACTTGAAGACCGGTCTTTTTGAAATCGTTTGGTTTTCCTTATTTAGAGCTAGCATTATTTCTGTTAACATAAATTAGATCAGTCGGCCGGCCTCTCTTCTCTTCTTTTGTCTTCTCTTGTCTTCTCTTCTCTTTCTGTGTAGTTCACCCAGGCCTTGAACTCACTTGGTAGCCTAGACTGGCCTGGAACTCCCAGCAGTCCTCCTCATTCATCCTCCTAAGTACTGGGATTATAGGCATGTGCCACCGTGGCCAGCAAACTAGAATTTTTGCCTTTCTTTTCTTGGGAGGGGCGATCTGTGGGTGTTCAGGGTCTCATTACTAGATCAGACTCTTAGTGATCTGCCTTTTTATAGCCTCCCAAGAGCTGGAATTACAGGTGCTTGCCACCATGCCCAGTCTCAATCACCCATCTCAGTGCACCCGGGGCTGGGGCTGGCACTGGCACTGCAGGCCTGGGGATCAAACCCCTGGCTCCTGCGCCTGTTTGCAGGCGCTTTAATCTGCTGAGCTATTTGGCCAGCCCTGAGATGGTATTTTAAATTGAATTATTCCATTTTGAAAAGAAAGTCTGAGCTCACTGCAGAACCTATTTCAGTTGTATTCTAGACATAGTAGGACAGAAGGCAGCTAGAGTGAAGCATCACACCTCCGTGGTCCAGAACAAACTCTCCCCACTCCTGAATGTGTTCTGGACCACACAGACGTGATGGTTCCCTGTCTGCTGTAGCCCGTCTCCTTTACTTCATTGAAAAAATCAGTTTCTGCTTATAATGTTTGATTATGCATGCCTATATCTTGCAGTCTGAGCAGCTACTTTGAGAGCTCGTTTGGAGGTTCTAGAGGGGAGCGCAGCTACTCGTATACCAAGGCGTGCAGCGCCAGTGCCAGCCCACCCTGGACCAAGAGACGGTCCTCCTCTGTCGGGGGTGGTCGTCCTTTTCGACCAAGCACGCAGCTTTGGGAGGGACACACATGGATCGTTGAGGGAGGAAGGGGACACCCGCCGAATCAGGAGCCAGCCAGATCAGCCGAACCATCCCTGGCGATCAGCGGGGTGATGTGTTGCAGCCAGATGGCCCTCACATCCTGAGCAGCTACTTTGAAGATAGCAGTATGCAGTACATTAACTATTGTTAATCACCATAAAAAGCAGTTCAGATAATGAAGCACTGTACCTGAATATAAAAACAAGTACACTAAGTCACGATATTTATGAGCATAGCTATATCCCTATTGGTTAAAAGATAAAGGAGAAAAAAAAAAAAAGATAAAGGAGAATATTGTCCTCTGTTATGACAAATATAAAGGAAGTAATCTTGAAGCATATTCACTAAATACATCCTCTTGTTTTGTAGTTCTGAAGCAGCTGTGGAAGTACTCTTTTGGGTCTTTAGTTGCAGCTTCAGCTTCTCAAGTGCTGGAGTTACGGACATGCTCCACCATGCCTAGCCAACCTATAATTTTTAAACAAACCTTGTGATTTGAGAATTTTTTTCCTCTCAATTGTTCTCTTTAAGGATGAATTGCAAAGGCTGCTGCGGTTGCTAAGAGACCAGGATCCCCTCTCAGATGAGCAGATGCAAGGACTCTGTATGGAACTGAATGACTTCATCGTTGCTCTTGCCTCAGTCCAACCCTCTGCCAAAAGAGAAGGCTTTGTCACTGTTCCTAATGTGACTTGGGCAGATATTGGTGCCCTGGAAGATATTAGAGAAGAGCTCACCATGGCAATACTGGTAGGTGCATTCGCTACTAGCATCATTGGCATGTAGGATGACCTGAGGCCCAGAGATGAGGTTATGTGTGTGCTTACCAAGTCATAAGTCCAAACTGATTTGACTCTGTGTAGTCTTTTTCCAGTAAAGCATTAGTTAAGTCCCAAGTCAGGGTCGAGGGTAGGGATTACCTCACAACCAGACTCCTTTACAGAGGACAGAGGCAGATAACAGTAGAGTGGAGCTAATTCAGACTTTGCCAGGAAGAAGTTTGCCATCAGTGTTGAGACTGTGTGTCTGGCTGGAGTCAAGTGTGAGCATAAAGTATCAGATGGCCACGTCTTCTGGATCAGGGTTTTATTTCTTGTTCTTCCCAGGCACCGGTACGTAACCCAGAGCAGTTCAAGGCTCTCGGCTTGGTCACTCCAGCTGGAATCCTCCTTGCTGGTCCTCCTGGCTGTGGGAAAACTCTGTTGGCAAAGGTACAGTATATGTTCAGCTCTGGTTTATTTTTCTTTTTTTTTTTGCGGAACCGGGGATTGAACTTAAGCCCTTGCATTTGCCAGGGAAGCGTCTGTTCCACTAAGTCATCATCTCCCCAGCCCCCTCTGGTTTATTTCTTAACCTCAGGCAGAATAGTATGAATATCTTTACATTTCACACTAAAATAAATGTTTTTAACCTAATGATTTTCTTCAGGAAAATCCCCGCTTATTAAATAGCAAAATCATTGAAAAGCCCTTCGATTTTAGCATGGTAATTTTCCTTTCTCTGTAGTTCAGCTTTATGTATGTATGTGCATATGTATTTGGTACAGTGTCTCACTACACAGATAGGACTCGTAAAGATCCTCCTGTTTTCAGCCTCCCAAGCGCTGGGATTACAGACATGTGCTACCACGCCCAGTCTCAATCCCTGTTTCAGCATATCCCGGGGATGGGTCTGGGGTCTGGGGTCAGGGGCAGCAGAGCAAGCTGGGGAATCAAACCCTGGTCCCTGCATCTGCCTAAGCAGGTGCTTTAATCCATTGAGCCATCTGGCCAGCCTATAGCTTTTAATAAGTATTACTACATAGTTGTAGCTTGTAGCCGATCTTGGTTCCAGCTTTGGTACAATTATAACTTTTAAGTATTTCCCTTACTTATTATCTTTAAATTGTTTTTTCACTACAGAAAATATAAATAAGCAAAGGGGAAAGGCCTTATTAACAAATCTTCCTATTTCTGTTTACTGCCAACCCATTTCATGTGTTAGCAGTCCGTCTAGATATTCTCGTGTGTTCATGTCAAGATGGTACACATACCCAAGCATGGCACCCCACACGTGTAATATCAGCAGACTGGCAAACAGCGGCAGGAGGGCTGTAGATTCACACAGTCCAGGCACCTCAGTGGCTTGTCAGGGCCCTTACTTAAAATGAAGGTCTGGTGTTGCCGCTTGTTTCAGAGGCCCCTATATTTAGTCCCCAACTGGGGGACGGGGGTTGTATGCACATACAATAATGTATTTGTGTGTGTTTCTTTTTCTGAGATGGGCTCTCGCTGTGCTGTTCAGAGTGGCCTTGAATTCACTGTGTAGCCCAGGCTGGCCTCAAGCTTCTGCTCTTTCTGACTCAGCCTTCTCAGTGCCAGGATTACCACCCGCTCCACGGAGAAGCTTGTACAGGCCAGACCATGCTTGCATGTCATTGGTTCACCAGCACTTACTACACCCATCTTTGCCAGACATTATTTCTTGTGCTGTGGATAAAGTAGTGAACATGATGTCTCTCTGATGAAATTTTCTGTTTGGAAGAGAGCAGCAGTAAACAAGTAAGATGGTAAAATTGCAGATTTGTCTGAGTTTTGATAGAAATAGTGTTTTGGTCAGCCAGTTGGGAGATGGCTTCTTTAATAGTGATGTTAACAGGGTGGTAACATCCAAATAGTCTTGAAAGACTGGTTAGCCCCATAAGGAAGCAGGGCAAGAAGGTGGAGGGAAGAGCACTTAGGGAAGCCTTCAGGCTGTACACGGTACACATTAGCCCCTCCACCCCCATGTGAAAGTAGGAAAGAGGGTGAGGCAAGAGTCTGGGGGCAAGAAAATGATCAAGCTGTGTTACGTGGATGTGTAGATCTGCTATAACGTAACCCTTTCACCTGTGTAATTTTTTTAAAAAGTCCTAAGGGAGTTTGAGAAGCAGAAAAGGAGCTGTGTTGGTCCGAGGACCACTCAGTCCCAAGGTGTTGTGAACCTTAGTCGATTTGTCACATGGCAACTGAGGATATATAGGACATGTGGTATAAACAGGGATCTGCTTTGCATTTTTTAAGGTGTTCTCTGATCTGTCAAGAATCAATTGGAGGGCTGGTGAGATGGCTCAGTGGTCTAAAGCACCCACTTAGAACAAGCTAAGCTTAAGCAAAGCACAGGGACCACAGTTCAATCCCCCAGCACCGCATGCCAGCCAGCCCCGCCCCCTGGTGGGCTGAGCTGGCCACACACACACACAATAAATAAATAAATAAAATATTTAAAAAAAAAAAAAAAAAAAGAATCAATTGGAGGGGTCGGGGAGATGGCTCAGTAGAATAAGTGTTTGCCTGGCAAGCACAAGGGCTTGAGTTCAATCCCCAGTTCCACCAAAAATAAAGGCAATAATACAATAAAAAATAAAAATGAATTTAAAAAAAAATCAATTGGAAGAAAGAAATAGAACCTTAAGGGGTTTTTTTTTCCTCTCCAGGCAAAAAGAGGATTATAGTCTGGATGAAAGTGGTGGTATACAGGAGAAACAGAAAAGGTATCAACCCACCTGTATGTGAGCATTAGGACTTACTGACAGTGGGTCACCAGGACCAGCAAGGAGAGGCTGAAGGTGGTCCAGAAACCACACATACCCAGTGAGGTGGAACAAGTGGGTCTGGGGCCAGAGGGCCTTGGGAGGGAGCCAGGAGTCCTGTTAGTAAGAGTTGGGTTCAAGTACCTATGCAGTCCACATGGAGTAGCACAAGGTGTGTTGAGCCAGAGCTGAAATAACAGGTTCCAGGGATAGAAAGGTTCTTCCCCTTATGGGTGCTGTTTCTGTGGGGGTCAGACTCGGTTTCACACATGCTGGACCAAATGTTCTACCAGTGAGCTGCATTTGTATCTCCTACTCTGGTTATTTTTAAATTCTCAGATTTTATTTGTTTCATCTTTGCATACAAATTATAGATCTTAAACACCTCTACACTTTCATGTTTCTCAGTATTGACTGTCAGAAAACTGATTCTGACATTTTGGAATTTTTGTTTACAGATAAACAAATGACTACTTTCATTGAACAAATATTTTTTCAGGCAGAAATTAAGATCTCGTTGCAATCCCAGGGTACAGTTACACATGTATTTACGCTGCTCTAAAGCATACTTTTATAAATAAAATACATAAATATTTTGTTATTCCCATTTGATTTGATGCCTATCTTAACAGTCTCTTAATTACCTTGTTATGTATTCATCTTACTGTGTCTTTGTTTACTCTTTGATAGGCGGTGGCAAATGAGTCTGGACTAAATTTTATCTCTGTCAAGGGCCCTGAATTACTAAATATGGTAAGTTGTTATCACAGCCATTATTTTATTTAGGAAAAATAATGATCTTTCAGTTATAGGATAATATAGTCTCAGATCTTGGAACAGTTTTGGCATTTTGTTAGAATGCTGTACAGTTGCGGCTGAGCTTTGCTCTGCTCTATTACTTGAGGTATGTTTCTGCACGTGCAAAGTGGAAATAATTCATTATTTACTGACATTTTAATGTGTTTACTCTGTATCATATATTTTTAAGAAATTGACATACATTAATGTTGAATAGCACTGTTAGGTATGAGCTATCCTGTGCTCTAGTGCACAGGTAAAGAAACTTTAGTGTGAAGAGGCTAAGTAACTTGCCAGAATTTGTCAGGTGGAACTAAGTAACTTGCCAGAATTTGTCAGGTGGAAATACTGTGGTGGAACTGAGACTTGAATCTGCACAGTCTGGCTCCTGATCTGCTCCCCTTGTCCTGTTGTGTGGCTCAGATGAATTAAAGTTTCCCTCTATTTAAACATTTCTGCTTCAATTTAAGACTTGAAGTTGGAGTGCATGTCTGCAATCCCAGCACTCTGGAGGCTGAAGGCCAGGCTGGCCATCTTAGGTGACTTAGCAAGAACCTATCGCAGAATTTGAAGAGGAGGGGCTGAGGATGTATTTTTTTCTATATTTACTGTATACATAGTTATCCCTATGAAATATATATTGTTTTTAAGTATAAAACTCATTGTGAGGCAGTTGGAAATTTGGGTGCTCACTGGATAGTTTACATTTGTGTGTATGTGAACACACATTTTGTTTGTGCAGTAGTAGTGCTGATGGGCTGGGGAAATGGCTCAGTAGAATAAGCGTTTGCCTGGCAAGTACAAGGGCCTGAGTTCAGTCCCTGGTTCTGCAAAAAAAAAAAAAAGTAGTGCTGACGACAAAACACCAGGACCTATACATACCAAGTGTACAGTCTACCACTGAGCAGCATGCCTAGCCCCAAGTAATTGTGGCTAATTTTTTTAAGTGTGATGATGCATTTATTTCTTAGAGATAATGAAATATTTATAAATAAAATGTGCTATTTAGGATTTACTTTAAAAAAAGAAAGGAAAAAAGTCAGAAAGAGATATAGATGACCCCAGATCAGTTGCTTGATTGGTAATACACAAGGTGGGTAGTAGATACGTATGGGGCTCAGCACTACTGTGTTTACACAGTAATGTTTGGAACTCTGTACATTATAAAGTAAAATAGGTTATGTAAGTAACTTACTTTCTTTTGCAGTATGGTTATTTTTGTTGGACATTTATATTTATCTTTGTGGCTACATTTACTTCGGTTTTTTTTGTTGTTGTTTTGTTTTTTGTGGTACTGGGGCTTAAACTCAGGACCCTGCACTTGCAAGCGCTTACTCTACTGAGCTATCTCCCTGGCCTACATTTCTTTCTTTCTTTTTTTTTTTTTTTTTTTTAACCATAATTTTATTGAGAAATAGCAGTGAGACGGTTTCAAACGAAATTGTTAGGACAGTTTCCATAATTAACACATTGCATACATTCTTCCTAGTGGTTAATTGCTGTACAAGATGCAGACTTGATATCCTATTTACAAACACCATTAGAACAAATCCCTCTATTCATTAAGAGAATGTAACTATATATCTATCCTAACCACTTTGAATACACAGATACAAAATGGACATTCATCTGTATCCCCTTTTTTTTTTTGTTAAGTTCCATCATTTAAATATTACAGGTGTATGAACTCAGCAAATATTCTAAAAGAGCTCAGTAATCCATAATAGTATTGGGTCTTCCGCTTCACTGGCCATGTCAGAAATTGTTGACCTGAGTCCCCTGCAGCTCAACATAACACCATGGCTTTACTTCTTATACTTCATTTTTATACTTTTCTGCTGGATGGTTAAGACCAAGGTAAAGCAGGACCTATGCAACAAGAGTTGTAGGTTTTGGGCCTACATTTATTTCTAATTTACTAATTTTCTGCTTGGTGCTTCATTAAATGAGTATAATCACACTTTTTAAAAATCAACGATTTTTCTTTTTTTTCTTTTTTTTTTTTTTTTGTATTTAATACAGGGTCTACAGAGTCACTACACAGATCAGACTCATAGTGATCCGCCTGTGTTCAGCCTCCCAAGTGCTGGGATTACACATGTGCTGCCAATCTATCTTCTTTTCCTATATTTAGGTTGAACATTCTGTTCATATATCCTTGGTATTTATAGAATTTTTGCCTGTAAAGTACGTGGAAATCCTTTAAGTGAAATTACTGTACCTTAGACTACATGCACTTCTAAAAATATTAGGTATTGCAAGCTTTTTTTTTTCTCCTCCGAATGCCTTCAGGGCAGGTTTGGCTGGCTTGAGTTGTGGGGATCGAACCATAGCAACCGGAGCCTGACTGCTTTGTTGAAGCAGCCACTTAAAAAACTGAGCCAAGCTTTTTTTATGAAATAGTTGTGTAAGATTTTTTCACATCCTCACTAGCACTGATGGTGTCAGATTGTTACCTTTTTTTTCCAGTGTCATGAATATGCAGTATTATTATTTCATTGTGTTCTGAAGTTCAGGTTTTTTTTTTTTTTTTTTTTTTTTAGCAGAACCAGGGATTGAACTCAGGCCCTTGCACTTGCCAGGGAAACGCTTATTCTACTGAACCATCTCCCTGGCCCCTCCTCATTGTGTTCTGGTTTGATTTTTTGGGGGGTCAGTAAGGGAAGAAGGCTGGAAGCATTGATTAGATGATCTGACCAAGGAAAGAGACATGGACATCTTGGGGTTGGAAAATAAATATACTCTAGGACATTTTAAGGAACCATTTGGGATGTTCTGTAGGTAGCATGGCATCATTCTGGATCTCAAAAGAGAATTGAGAGTTAGTATCAGCTAAGTACTACCTAGAATTTGGAAATGGGTGAACAAAATATTCTGGAACAAGTATGATAGGGGTTCTTGGCAACCCTGAGGGTGCTGATAACTCAGGAAAAGAAGAGCTAGAGAAGAGGCCTAGAGTGGTCTCAGAGACTGCCAGCCCCAAAACCAAAACTGTCAGGGTGACCACAGGGTGTAAAAGGAACTGTCGAGCTCCACATCTGGTGCATCTAAGAGTATTCTCAGTACTGGACCTTGCCAAAACCAGATCATAATGGCCAAAAACTGAATGGCTAGTAAAAAAAGATAACTATAGGCTCTTTACTTGAAATATTTCTTCTCAAAGACCTAGGTGAGACTTTTATTTGCTTATTTTTAATCACTATTACTTTGTAACAGATCAATTTTTTTTTTCTTCATTTTATGTGTTTGGTACAGGGTCTCACTATGCAGCTTGGACTTGTGCTGATCCTCCTGTTTTCGGCCCCCCTAGTGCTGGGATTACAGGCGTACACTACCACCCCTGGACTCACTGGCTCAGAGTGCCCCGGGGATCAAACCCCAGTCCCTGCCCTTGAGCTTAGTCCACTGAGCTATCTCGCTGGCCCTGAGATTAAATTTCTTTTAATCTGTCCTTTTGAAAATTTGTTTACATTGGCTTTAATTAAATTTCCTTTCATTTGATCATTTGTATTTGCTGCATGAGTCTTTCCAATTGTATTGATTGCTCCTTCCATCCCTGCCTGAAACTTTATCTCTATTAACTCACTGTTACTCATTTTCCTTTAAAATACGTACTAGCTGGGCATGGAGGCACATGCCTATAATACCAGCACTTAAGAAGTGAGGGAAGGCGATTCTCATGAATTTGAAGCCAGCCCAAACAAATTACACAGAGATCTTGATCCAATAAATGAATCAGCCAATCAACTACTGTACTTTGTTTCACATTTCAAACACAGTTTTTGCTAGGTTAGATTTTTTTACATCAGTGTACTACATTTACATTCAGCAAGATGTTAAGAGAAAACTTCAAAGACGTGACTTCTGCCCAACCACTTTACACTATAATGAAAGAAGAGCTCAAATGTCATACAGTATAAAATGTCAGAGGAAAATACATACTAATAGGAAGAATGATTAATGAGAGTCTTTTAGAATGCAAGAAGAAAGGTTGAGAAGCAAATTAAAAATCTTTTCTGAGCCAGTCATGGTAGTGCACACCTGTAATCCCAGCAATGGGAGTCAGAGGCAGCAGGTTTGCCTCAATCTGAGCTACACAGCAAAATCCAAGGCCATCACTGTCATATATGATGTTAGGGGTTGGTTGATTGGTTTTGTATTATATCTACATTTTGCAAGGTGTTAAGAGAGAAAACTGAAAAGTACTGCCCAAAAGAATATCTTTATGGAGTACAGACTGCCTTTAAATTCCTGTGTAGCCCAGGCAGGCCTCAAACTTGGGAACCTCCTGCCTCAGTCTCCCCCATGCTGAGAGTATAGGTGTGTGCCACCACATGTGGGCTTTTCCTTTGGTTGTTATAGTCATGTAGTCATTAAATCATTACATGATAGTTTAGAATAGTTGGTATTATAAAGATGATTTTTGGATTTTGCCTTAGCAGTTTTATTACGAAGTAACTTATTTTTAGTCAAATAGTTTAAATTTTACAAGAATAATTTGTCAAGTCCAGCTAAAAAATGAAACCATGTTATTATCGCATATAATTTGTCATAGTACTTAGTCCGGGTGTTACTACTGATCTTAGTGTTTTATGCTTTTAGATTTTAGCTTGTATAGTAAGGCATTATAAAACCTGTAAAAATCCTGTTGAGTTCACTTTGAATCCTTTGTTGCTGTATGACAAATGCTAAAACTAAGAATGGGATGGTAAAATTGGCTTTGTATGCATTTAGGATACTGTTGAATTAATGAAAGCCACTATTTTATATGTGTAAGGCGTAAAAGGTCAGTGCTGAAACACGGTAGAACTGTGGGAGTTTTTGAGCTCTTAGGGGGCTTATCTTCCTGGTCTTCATGTTATGATGAGGAAATTTGTCATAAGCTTACATAGTAGCTAATTATATATA